TCACAGATACATCATTTATGAACATAGGTAAAACATTTAAGAAAAGCTGAAAACAGAGGCCAACAATTAAAAAAATGTCACTTCCGTGATCAGCAAGATTTCTCTTGGGCTGCAAAATAGGTCTGCTTGGGAATATTATATAAACATTAAACAAAATGGAAAAATTCTAAAAATATAATCCAAAAGAAGACCCCCTCCTCTTGGAATTAACTTTAAGTGCAAACCCTGGCATTTTTATAAAGAGCATGATGCTTTGTGACTATCTCTTTATTGAATAGTACACAGTGAAAATCTTTATTGGTAAATATATTTTAACAATAAAATTCCCCCCTTACATTCATGATGACAATATAGTCCAGAGGTTTACATGTTCAGAGAAAAAAATATCTAGACATAAATAAGAAATGTGCAGCCTGTATGAAGGGAACTATTGGACTTCAGTGAATAATAATTTAAAAGATTTGAGTAGTAAGAAGTACAAATCATTTTCCTCAATAAAAAGATGAAGTATATTATGGTACAATATTCCAAGCAAAATCTCCACAAACTTTCATATTTTCACATTTTTTTTTTGTTCTGTTGCTAGAACAAATGTAAATTTTATGTAGCATAAAGAGGCAAACATTTTGTGAAAAGGCAGACTGAAGCTGAACTCGTGTCTTTAATAGCTACAATAATCTAAATATTTTAGTTCTGAGTTGTGAAAAAAACATGTAAAGTCCTAATATTATGTTACAATTTAGTATGTGAAAATGGTACAATCTGCAAGAGGTAGAAAGAAATGGGCCTCCCGGGGTAACTGATGGTGTCTCTGGACAGCTAGTAAGAGTAGATGTTTACTTCCTATATTGCAATGAATACATATCTGTGTGTAATTGTAAGTATTCCTAATTGAAATATGAAATTTAAACTATCAAAGTTCAAAAAATCATGAGTTTCATAATTTTAATGTTGAGAATGCAAGACACCAATAGCAGACAAAACTTATTTAAAAGTTTGAATTTATGAAATCTTGACTTCAAAAAAAATCCCTCCGTGGACAAGTTTTAGAGGGTGCTCCAAAATAATGAGAAAGGGAATCATATTAATGTGGAATAATATGTTATAAAGTGAAAAAAGCCATTAGGTATAGTTCTCATTGTTGCTGTAAACAGAGATAAAATATATAGATTCTTATGACAAAGAGCACATAAATCAAGAAGATACTGTAATACTTCTATGACCAACTATTATAAAATGAGCACCGCAGTTAAAATGAGGCTAAGGAACCAAAGGTACTGCAAGTCCTACGCAGCACACCCCAGAGCGCTGACTGCTGCAGCCAGCCCTGGGGGAAGTGGGGAGCGGCGGGCAGCAAACGGCCCAGTCGGTCCTCCCGCTCTTGCTCCCCATCCTGGGCCTGTCCATGCTGCTAAGAGGTCTGGGTGAGGCCTGTGAGCTCTGCTCCAGAGGAACCCTGTGCCCAGGTGTCCGGGAGCCCAAGACCTCTCCCCCAAACCCATTTACTGACCTCCTTCCCCACCCCAGGAACCCCAAAACACAGACCCTGGGTCCATCTGCAGCTTATCTTTTTTGCAAACCCTGCCTGACATAAAACAATAAAACTAGAAACTTACAAAATAAATAAATTATAAATAAAAATAAAATGAAGCTAAGGACATGAGCCAACACTAAGCAAGAAACTGAAGATGAGCAGTCAATAAATAGTGTTGAACTGCTCAATGTCTCTAGAAAATCAATTCAAGATTATGTAAGGTTGGAAAAGCCTGTAAAAGAATAGGATCCATTATGGAAATGGGTTTGGAGAACTCACATTTCCAAACTTTGGATGGATCTGAAATTCATATAGCTTTTCTGGAGTCAATTTCATCAGACCTGAAAATGAACTTACCTTTTAATCCAGAAATTACAGTTTTAGAAAGAAATCCAAAGAAGAAAACTTGGAGATATTCCTCCACAATGTTTATTTATAATAATAAAAATATTGGAAGTCACCTAGGTGAGTATCAATAGGTTATAGGTAAAATGGCATTGATCCGTAAGAGAGAATCCTAGGTGGTCATTAAAAATGACCACATAAGGGCAGAAAAGCCAACATGGACAAGATGTTAATCACATATTATGAAGTGAAAAATGGGAATTTACAGTATATATGTTATCCTAATACTGTGTGCATGAGTGTGTATTTCCAAAAAGAACACTGAAATAGAAGCAGCCAAACCAAAAACCAGAGACAAAACTATAACCCACCTATGGAGAACAACAGGGAGCAGTATTACTATTAATTTTCCCATATAAGTAAAATTGAAGAACACATTTCAGAGAACGTAGTCTATGACTCCTGTGTAATATTAAAGTCATTTTATTTATATTTTCTAAGCATGATTACTTTCTCATTGTTACCTGCCAAACTAACAGCATGCTGTTTCATAAGTAAAAGTTTTTCACAGGCTTCCATAATATCTGCTCTTCTAAAGTTACTGAGGTTCAGGTATGTTTTTCATCACAACCACTAACATTAGCAGTTTTAAAACTTGTGGATACATTTTATAAGAATTTTTAAATGTTTTAAACTATAATAATATATAATACCTGTACAAATCACCGAATCGTCTGGAAAGGGAAAAACCCCCCAAAACATAAACGATAGTTGTTCATCCATAGGTTATTAAAAATTACATGGTTTATTTCTCTTCAGTAGCAATTACAAATACAGCTTTTTTTTTTTTTTAAGATTTTTTTTTTATTTATTTGAGACAAAGAGAACGAGAGAGAGAGAGCACATGAGAGGGGGGAGGGTCAGAGGGAGAAGCAGGTTCCTTGCCGAGCAGGGAGCCCGATGCGGGACTCAATCCCGGGACTCCAGGATCATGACCTGAGCCGAAGGCAGTCGCTTAACCAACTGAGCCACCCAGGCGCCCCAAATACAGCTTTTGCAAATCACTGGGCATGACAGCTTTAAAGTTGTCTAACTCCAGGCAACAACATATCATTTGGAAATGGCATGGATACTTTTGCTTGCAATATACAATTTTAATATTCCGACAGTATTTCTGATTTGCCCAAGTCAAATGCCCATAAGAGTCTGGTCTATTATAACTTCTCCGGAGGTAAACAAATATGGATTAAAACACATGGAAAAAGGCCTAGGATACATGCTGAACTAAAAACCACCAGTTATTTTAGGAGAGGCAACTATTGAGAGGCGGGGGAGAAGACTCATCTGTTATATTTTCCTTAGAATATTTATGCCCTCTTCCCCCAACATGGGCAGCTGGTATGGACCACTGGCACAGGAGCACCCAGTCCTAGGAAGGCTAAGGAAGTCCGACTAGCCCCTGGGCCCTAGTCATGGTTGCCATGCTTCTCCAAGTTCCTTTTCTATTTTAAAGTATGTGGTTGGAGACCCAAAAGAGCAGGATATGCCTTCACCAGGGGCTGGAGTTCAAGTAGTTCTAAACTCCCCTGCTGTCCTCTGAGGATGTGAACTTCTTTGGGTTGGGGGTGGGGGGAGTGAAACGAGAATTTTTGGCCTGTGTGTCACTGCAAGTAAGCTGAAACTAAGGCCTGCTCTTTCAGACGGGGATAACTATTCCCATCTTTTACATGAGGAAACTGAACCAGAGAGGCTCAACCATCCCAAACTATGGACTCCAGACATGGTAGAGAAGGCAAGATATCCAGCATCACTTTTCCAATTCCCCAAGTATCTGAGGGGACCTTGCTCTTAAAAAGTAGTGCCTAAGAGGAGATATCAGTTCTTCATTGTCTGAAAAAGAAGCCTGGGGAAGTGCAGAGTCTGAAAGGAGGGGCAGGTGGGGAAGAGGAAGGAGGCAGGAGATTACGTAGTGTCCTGTCACTCAGTGGTACATGAAGATTCTGTGGAAATAACGGGAATCATCAGAACAGGCTACGCCTTCCCCAAAAACACAAAGGACGAAGGAGTTGGGCAAGGGCAGCTACAACTGCAGGTGCCTACTGGGAGCAACAAGCGGCGTGGTTGAGGGCATCTAGGATACCCAGGGGTTGAACCTTTCCAGAGGCAATGGCTCTCCCTTTTCCTGCCAAGTATAGGCTGGAAGTGAAGTGACAGGGCACACCAGGCACGGGGAGGCCAAGTTCCACACAGAAAATGGGCCTAATTCCCAAAAGACAGGTTCTAGAGAGTTTACCAGGAAACAATTTCCAGGCACTGAGAATGTGAATCGCTTAGTCATTTCAGAAGGCCATACCTATGACCCAGCCATTCCTTTTCTGATTTTGCACTTGAGCATTAGTTTTTAAGTTCTGGGAGATGACCCAATCACTGGCTGTGAAATCAGTTTAGTATATGGGAATAAGCATTTCTTTTAACAGAATGTGGTACAATACAAAATAAAGTATCAAAGTATATTACAGGTAATTAGGGTGCTGTTTCAGGAAGCAAAACCATAGGTACTTAAAATTGTTGGTTATACATGTACATGTATTACACACACACACACACACACACACACACACACTCTCTCTCTCTCTCCAGATAACCAAATGGCTCACTCCCTCCACTGTAGCCTTCCCAGTGAGGTCGTCCCTTCTCCATGCTATGTAGACTGAAACATCTTTCTGACAACTTTTCCTATTTTCATTTTACTTTACAGCACTTATCGCCGTCATCTTCTCCTTTGCAGACATTTTCTTGATAGGACTTCTGACAGCAACAAGGACACAAACTATCTGGTCACAATGACTTGTGAAAAAATAGTCTAGGATAAGTTCTCATTGGCCTATTTTGTAACAAACGACCATTCCTGGATCAATACAAATGCGGGTCCAGGGAGAGATGGTATCATCTGGGATAAATGTCAACTCTGTGTTCACAAGGACGGGCTATCTTATGGGAAGAATGTAGAAAAGTTGCCTCAAGCAGACAAAAAGTAACAGCCACTACACCTAATATTTAAGTACATGCTAAAAATGCCCTAGCAAGTGGACAAGGAAAAGGGTAAATTAATCAAACAACGCAGGGACAACTGGCTATTTATTTGGAAGAATACAGAGCTGCTTATCTCACAACACATGTAACAAGAAACACCACACAGGGACATATGAAAAATGTCATTTAACATAATGTCTGCTTCATGCATGTCAACAGACATACCTGCCACAGTGCTCACTTCCAAAAGGAATTTACTTGTGACAATACAAAAGCACAATGAAGTAGAAATACTTAACTTTCAACTAGTAGAATAAGTTTATTTCTAATACTGAGACTTTACATAGGAGTTTACAGAAATAAAAAAAAACACCGTGCTGCTTATTATCCATTGGCTCCACCTAGACCTTCTCTCCGCTTTCTCTGTGCCCACCTGGGCTAACCTGCAGATCGCATCTGGTGGGGTTCTCCAAAGGGAGGCACCAGCAATTCAGTGCCACAATGCTGGTGGGGACAATATCCCCTCGGAGATGGTCTCTCCTCCATGAGAGCAGCTCTTATTGGGCTCTGGTGACACTAGTTTCTTTCCATCCTTTGCCCCTTTATGACTTAGAATGGTCACGGCTTCTGGGTGATGCTAGTCTCTAGGTGCTTCAGTATCCCTTGTTTCTGGCCCACACCACTGTAATACGTCTACCATTACAATCCTCTTGGTTGGGGTAGAATTCTGTTTTTCATTAGAAGCAGGGCTGATACAAAAGCTATCCTCGTATTAACTTGTCAAAAGAAGTCATTCTTCCCCCAAATCACTGTATAGAACATGAATACTTAGAACTAAGTACTCGTCTGTACCAGCTGGAATGCCTTCAGCTAGAAGTAACAGATAGCCTTAAGGATAAATAAGCAACTATTATTACCACAGTAACAGAAAGTCCTAGCCAAGAACAGGTCCAGATGGAGTTGTGCAGCTCAGTGACGTCTGAGCCAGGCTTTTCCCATTTTGTCTACTGTTATCTTCAAGCTATTGCCCTTCAGGGCCACAAGCTATAATTTGGTATAACATACATACATGAAAAAGTCCAGCATAAGAGAGACAATCTCTACTTGTGTCTTCTCATGTTACAATAGTTTATCACTGAGATCTTTCCCAGAAGTACTGCAGAATATTTTCCAAACATCTCAACAGAATCACTAGAATAGCATCTCCACGATTAACTTAGATTAATCTGTATTTACTCCTAAATCATCTGGGGGAAGAATGGAAAGAGAGACAAAACAGAGCCCAGCAAGTAAGAAGCAGAGTAGTGGGTGGGCAATGTCTCTTGGAACTGCTCATCAGTGTGTTCCAAGGAGGTGTGGGAAAACAGTAGGACAAAGGAGGCAGGGACAGTGTATGACACCCTATTATTTTAAATACGAATACATAGTTCCTGGGGCACATACAACAGATCATGCCTAAATAGATACAACAATGAAATACCAAGAGTAAGAAAGTGGCATTCGAGTACATACCACTATTTTTTATTTGTGGAGTGCAGTGAGTATTCCTGTTCATAAATGATGTTAACCTTTGCAAAATTCATTTAAACCCCGTTATTAACAGCACTTACAACACTATAGGACTGACCCAGAGGCAGCTGAAAAACCTCAGAAAAATATTATTTGGCTTCTTTGGGAAGTAGTAGTAGATCAGTAACAATGGCCATACTAATTCCTATTTGCCAGCAACATCAGAGGGAAGGTTGGTGATGTGGTTGTAAAATAACATATACCAGCCAAACGATAAAGAGACTCAGGTAGTATTTACAATTAAGACTGGTGCAGAGGTAGTTAAGAAACCTCACAAAAACAAATTTGGGGTTCTTTACTGAAGAGGCAGTTCAGCAATAATGGCCATAGCTATTTGTTTATGTCAGGAAATGGGAGAGGGGGTATGTAGTTTATACTTTAAATTGTCCAGATATATTTTCATATATACACAGTGGTGTGCTGGTAAGTATTTGACAACAGGTTCTCTGAGAAAATAAAAACCCCGGTTTGTAGAGTTTGCCAATTTCCAGGGCATAAATGCTCCCACTAAAGCCAAGCTACCAGAAGTACGACACTGAGTGCAGAGGTGGGAAGAGATGTGCAGTAGCACATTAGGTGGTATTTTTACCATGTGACTTGATAATATAAGTGACCTAAAGAACAAAGAGCAAAATGTTATAAAGTAATTAAGAAGTGATGAGTGTATTTATTACCTTTTTAATATAATTTAATTTTTAAATAATAACTATGTTTAACAACTGGCTCACAAAATTCCCGAAAATTTAACCATCGGCAGCTGCAAGCCAGTGTGAGCTTACTCTAACACACCACTGCGTACATGTGTATAAATATATTTACATATACATATATATACATATATAATTATATCAACCTATAAAGACACTGGTGGTATTTAGTGTGGGTGATATAAATATAGACCATAACAGCTATTTAATTAAGGGATATTTTCTCTTCACAAGTATGTTGGACTCCAATATGCAAATCAAGCATACCTCTAACTTCTGCTATATTACTATACCCACATCAGGCCTTCAAACATCAGGGACTCTTCATAAATGTTTAATGTTGTTGCGATTCAACTTTTTTTAAGCTTCAGATTCCACTGTGAATATGGGTATGAATGAATACCATCCACTATATTTACAATAAAATTTGGTATCACATCTGGAATATGACACAATAAATTCTAGACAAAGATTTCTACCACATTCTTTAAGTGAATAAATTTCCCCTCAATATAAATTTTCTGATGAAAAGTTTCAGTTTTTCTGGAGAGCTTTCACATATTCAAAATATCAGTAAAGTTTTATGCTAGTATTAATTATCTGAAATACGATAAGACATCGCTTTCTAGTAACGTGAGGCATTCTTTGGGCTTCATTCATCTCATTTTTAAAAATGGTGTAAGAATTTGAGAGGGCACGTGAAGGCTTCTGGACATCAGGATGTTGAGAGAGCTTTCACCCTTGTGTGAATTCTCTGATGTTTTGTGAGTACCGACCTCTGACTGAAGGTTTTCCCACATCCATCACACTCATAGGGCTTCTCTCCTGTGTGAGTTCTCTGATGTTTAGTGAGAGCTGATTTTTCACAGAAGGTTTTCCCACACTCGTTACATTTATAGGGTTTCTCCCCTGTGTGAGTTCTTTGATGAACAATGAGGTTTGACTTCACACAGAAGGACTTCCCACATTCGTTACACATAAAGGGTTTCTCTCCTGTGTGTGTTCTCTGATGGACAGTTAGGGCTGACCTGTGGCAGAAGGATTTCCCACATGTATTACATTCGTATGGTTTCTCCCCTGTGTGTGTTCTCTGATGTTCCGTGAGGTTTGACTTTACACAGAACGTTTTTCCACATTGCTTACATTCATAGGGTTTTTCTCCTGTATGTGTTCGCTGATGGTTGGTAAGGTGTGGTTTCTGACAAAAGGATTTCCCACATTCTGTACATTCATAGGGTTTCTCTCCTGTGTGTGTTCTTTGATGTTGAGTGAGGTTTGACTTCTCCCAGAATGTTTTCCCACATTCACCACATTCAAAGGTTTTTTCTCCTGAGTGACCTCTTCGAAGCTGGGTGAGATGTGACTTCTTGTTGAAGTTATTTCCATTTTCATTGTGCTCATAAGGTTTTTTGCCCATGTGTACTATCTGACGTTTAAAGAGGGTTGACTTTTCCCACGTTTTAGGACCTACTTTATATTCATGGGGAATCTTTCTTGTATAGGTTCCCTGATGGATAATGAAAGTTGAGTTATCACAGAAGGTTTGCCCATATTCATTGTATTCATAAGGAGTCTCTCCTGTAAGAGTTCTCTGATGTCCCAATCTTAAATCTGTATAGAAGGACTTCCCACAAATATTGCATTCATATGGCTCCATCTCCAAATGAGTTCTCTGAGATAAACTGAGTTCTAAACTGTGGATGAAGGTTCTTCCACATGCATTATATTTACAGAGCGTCTCTCCTATCTGTATTTTCTTGTTTGTGAAAAAGGCCGCTTCCTCATGGAAGGTTTGTCCGTTTTCATTATACTCAGAAGGCAGGTCAAAAATTGGCTGACTGAGGTCATGGCTATGATTGAGCACATTCCTTTTTTGATTATATTTATAACATTTCCCTCCAGGAGGTGTTTTCTCATGCTTAATATCAAGGAGCAATTTCTCATATACATTAAACTCATCAGGCTTCTTCCCAGAATAGCTCTTTCTACTAATAATTAAGCCTGAAATATTTTTCAAACTCATTTCACATGAGTCACATATCTTATATGGAAAATTTCTTGAAGGAACAGAATCTGTGCCCAGATTGAAAGCTTTTCTTACTCTATCACCACTATCTACATTTAACGTTTTGTTGGTGGTGAAAGCAAGTTGCCAAAAATGTTCGTCTTCATTGTCCTGGCTGCTCTCTATCAGGTCATCAACTTTCCAGTCTTCTAGAAATGAGAAAAATAACCACATCTTATGAATCCTAGTACACTTCTAATGGGACTAAACTCACACAAATGCCCTTTCATGTAGTCAATTCTTTTGTTTTAGGCTCAGTTTCCTGGTGTGAACTAAAACCAAGCAAAGGTTTCCTTTATCCTCCTGGTCTCAGTGGAAAGTAAATATATGCTGCAGTGGAAACAGGGAATGGAAACTGGCAAGGACATTTAACATTTTAAATATAAAACCTTCAAAACTGGACGGAAAACGGTGAAAATTCAAAACACAGGGAGCTGGGAGTGGCTGACTCGGGAAACTCAGAGAATGAGGTGAGCCAGACAGAGACACTGAACACTAAATAAAGTGATGTGGAGACTAGTGGACATGGCTTTCAGAGGATGAACTATGTGTGGTGGAGACAGAACAGTTCCGTCCTAATCCCCTCATATACAGATTCCTGGGGTAGGATTCTGGCTGGAGCACATGATTTTACTCTGCGCACCAACACCAAACTTCCTCGGGTTCAACCAAGAAGTCCTATAGCCCAGCATCTAGTTTTTCTTTTAACTTATTTTATAAGAAATAATTATTTTTTTTTACATGCTGTAAGACGCAGGCTAGAGAAAGTGAAATAAAATCAAGATACACGGTGAGCAAGGATTAGAGATTTTCTGAAAGGTGTCCACTTAGAAAGCAGGAAACTCAGAAAATTGGAGAATTCAACAAGGGAGCTTTTAAAATAAAAAATAAACTACAAATAGACTGAGAATCAGTAGAGGAAGAATTCAGAGACATCACGGTTCATGTCCTTATCCTCTCACAGCTTGACTACTACAGTAGGATTCTCACTAGTATGCATGTTGCCAGTCCTTTTTTCCCTTCCATTTGATTTATAAGAATCAACATAAATTTCTGAAAGCGCCTCCTTCCTCATTTTTTAAGGAACACTGCTTTACCTCAGACTCTCACTCTCCATCTAGCTGAGATTCACTACACCACAAATATCCCAAAGGAAATACAAAACAGATGAGGGGCAGGCCATCTCTGCGGAAGGACCAGGTTCACTTTGTTTTCTCACAGCTGCTAATGAATCTGTCCTGACCATCAAGTCATACATTGATTCACTTCAATCTGCTGGATTACTTCTCCCCAAAGCCATTTTATGTCTGAGGCAATGTTGATCTTTAAGTCTGCTTTTATACCTAGGTTTATCTTTTGTATCAAGGTTTTCTGCTTTTTTATCTAGCCTCATCTGTAGTTTTTACCTACTAGTGAGACCCATAAGGATCATGTTTCTCTACACGGTTCTGAGACCTTTGGTAAACTTTATCATAACAATCCTTGGCTGTGCTTCACTGTTGCTACCCAATGCAACAGTGTCAATCACGTGAGAAAAAACTTCGATGGCAGTCCTGAGCCCACTGCTCCAAGGGCCAAATAGTAGTAATTATTAGCCAGCAAAAACAAATCAATACAAAACAAACTTTCCACCAACTGGATTCACAGTTAAGTGTCCAAGCCACCACATCACATGTCCAAGTAACAGTATTTCTGTACAGGGGCGCCTGGGTGGCTCAGTTGGTTAGGCGACTGCCTTCGGCTCAGGTCATGATCCTGGAGTCCCTGGATCGAGTCCCGCATCGGGCTCCCTGCTCGGC